TATATATATATAGTGTATATATAGTATACTATAGTGTATATATAGATACTATACTATTATATATATATATATAGTGTATATATATACTATAAAATCTATAGACACTATAGTATCTATAGATACTATACTATTATATATATATATAGTGTATACATATACTATACTATAGTGTATATATAGATACTATACTATTATATATATATATATACACACTATAGTACATAAACACATTATATACATACTATAGTGTATATATATACTATAGTGTAGTATCGATACATATATACTATAGTATCTATATATATATATATATATATATATATATATAGATACTATATCTAACAGCATAAACAAAGTATTAATAAAAACAAAATAAGAGACAAAAAAAAACAAAGACTTATATGTACAGTTATACATATCTATAAACAAACATTTGTAGACAGTAGACACGGTGCAAATGAAATAAATTATTTTACCTACATATATGTATGTATTTAAGTACTTGAGTAAATGTACTTAGTTACATCCCACCAATGGACATGAGTATTACTAATAAATAAATAAAAACCCTACTGGCTATGTCACTGCAGTTCACCATCCACATTACCTAATAACAAGATGAGCCCTCGTGCTCTGCCCTCCTCCTCCTCCTCTTCCTCCTCTTCCTCCGGCTCGCGCACTGCGCAGCGCTCATTGGTTGGCGCGACAATATAAAGTTCCGCAGTGATCCCCTCATTGACTGACTGCTGCCTGCCTCACTCACTGCCTGCCTGCACGGAGAGAGCCGCACCGCCGACCACAGAGAGGATTTATTGAAACTTTATCGCTTATTGATTTGCAGTTGTGTGTCTCGTGCTGTTTCTGATCGATCATGAAGGAAAGGAGACTCACGCAGCCGTTCGTCGCGAGGTGTAAACTTGTGCTGGTCGGGGACGTCCAATGCGGTAAAACAGCGATGTTACAGGTCCTGGCTAAGGACTGCTATCCAGAGGTAACACATTTCCCTACAATGTTATAATATCTAGTTATTATTTTTATATCTGAACTGAAAAATATTGATTATTTTAATTATATGTCATGTTTAAATTGATTTTCTCACCCCTCGAGGTAGAATACATCTGACTTTAATAGTCTCTCAAGGATTACTTTTCTCTGTTTCCATTGTGTTAGAGACCTATAGTACACCAGTGATACTTAATACTTAAATTTATAGTCATCTTATTGATTGTTGAAGGCTCATTAATATGTTTAAACTACCACGATGCAACATAGCTCATAGTATTATTATATTATTATATTATTATAAGGGATATTTGACTAAATGCTTTATTTTTATAGGTTTAGTTTAGTAAATGTAGACAGAGCTGCATGCAATCCTTACAGATTGGGAACATCATTGGTCATACTTTATGTTAATATGTTGCACAACCTGTGAATTGATTGAAAAGTAAATTTTGCTAATCTTTTTGGAAATAACAGCCCCTTCTCAGATATGAATTTGTCTTTCATTTTATATAATTATATATTTAATACGTTTTCCTGTTGATCAGACTCTGTAACTCAATCACTGGAGTGGATAGATGAATTAGTTTTTAGATTTCCATGTAAATTTGCAGTTTTAAAAAGCTCTTTTTTCCCCTTTTTATTGTCCGTTTCTAGACGTACGTCCCAACTGTGTTTGAGAACTACACCGCCTGTCTGGAGCTTGAAGACCAGCGTGTTGAGCTCAGCCTCTGGGACACATCAGGTGAGGATTTATACTCTGATTATATATTTTAAACTTACTCTCAGTTTAATAAAAACTAACCTTTTTACAAGGCGCAAGGCTGTTATCTCTCCTCCCTTCTTATCTCTGACATACAGCCAATTTAAAATCCTCCCCAAGCTTTTCACAGTCAATGAGTGGAGTAGTTTCACTGCTGTATTCATGGGTGGATTGGTGGAAACATGTTTACCCTCCCAACGACAACAGTCAGCCTGGAGTCGGGTAACAACCTGTAAATGAGGCTCCGTCTCATTCACTGTTTTACAAACAGTGATGTTGCTGTTTACCCAGACATCGCTATCTGTCGATCCTGTTTTGATGCAGTTAAGCAGCTTTTTTTTCCCACTGGTGTGAAATCTGTTGGGAGATCTTCTTTGGTGGATTTGGGGGCAGGTCAGCAACAAGCATGTGTGAATTTCCCACAGAGCGACCGGCGCCCAAAATCCACAGCATTGTGTGGAAAATAATACATAATGAAAAAGGATAAATTGGGGCCACAGTTAGAGACTTAATGCGAAGTTTGTAGTCCCCCAATATTAAATTAGGCCCCTGATAAATAAGATTTAAACTGTTACTACAGTATCATTGGAGCTTTGTGTAGTTTGTATTATATTGTTGATTCAACAAGGGCTGAAACTAACAATTAATTCATTATCGATTTTAATCTGCAAGTTATTTTCTCGATTCATCGCTCAATCGTTTTGAAAGTTTTGAAAATAACCGGTAATTATTTCTCAAAGTCGATAAGATTGTGTCTTCAAATTCCTTTGTTCTATATCAAGAAGACATTCAGGTTATAAACAGGATAAAATGGAGAAAAAAGCAGCAAATCCTCACGTTTGAGAAGGAAACAAAGTAAAGTTGTTTTAAAAAATGAATAAGAAGTTTGTTGTTGTTGACTGTTGTTGTCAGTGGACTGATGGATTAGATGGATTGTATGTTCAGATACATGGTAGTTTGTTTGTGTTGTGTACCTGACTGATCACTTTTTTGAGTGGATAAACTACTTTTTACAATCTACCGTATACAGGGATGATGTTCATGTTACATCTCTGACCTTTGACCGCTACAGGGGGTCAAGTTATCAAAGATCACAAGAGAGCCGTATATTTATCCAGTAAAATTGGTTTTAAAACTCAATTAACAGCTTTTAGAACAAAGGTTAAAGCAGAAGTAGGTAAGTAATTTTGGTCACTTGCTGCAACGATTAGTCAATAAATCAATCAGTTAGTCGACAGGCAACTAATAGGCAACTATTTTGATGATAGAACAATAATTTTATTTACTTTCCAAGCAGATTTGCTAAGAAGGATTTTCTGCTTTTTTTCTGCTTTATATAATTGTAAACTCAATATCTTTTGACATTTGAAGACGTCACTATGACCTTTTACACAACTCTCAGACATAGACAAAAGAAAATGTATCGAGTAAATAATCTGGAGATAAATCAATAATGAAAATAATTGTTCAGTGTGTCCCTCCTCTTGGTTTGTGGATCCAAAATGTCTTAAATGTTTGTGACCATCTTACGCTATGAAAACATTTTAGGTTAATTGCACTGGCCAACTGACATAATAACCTATAGAAAACGTATGTAAATACTAGAGGATCAATACGGGCAAAAAAAGCTGCCCGGTCCTGTATGGATTTATTTCATAACAGCGCTGGCTGAGGCATTGTGCTCAGAGGAAGTTGAGCAGTGCCAGTTGGCCCGCAGAGGGGTTGTTTCACAGGGGAAAGGGGGGATGCCTCGTCCACGCAGGGGGTGGAAGTCTCTGAGAGTGTGTTTGTGTGTACGATCACTGTGAACAGAAGGCACAAGTGAGGGATACTGAGCGAAGAGATATGCATGACCTCCTCACTGCCTTATGGTGTGTGCCGCCTAAAAAAAAAAGGTCTTATGTAACTGAAAACCAACAGTGAACTAATGTAGGTTTGTGTGTTTATCTCCCACGGAGTAAAAAAACTTTCTGGACAGTCACCCTTTTCCAGAGGAAACATTGCATAAGACCTATTTACATTTGCAATACACACAAACAAACAAACGGTTCCTGTCCTTGTGTTTCTTTCATTCTCTTTATTGTCTTTATTTGTAACATTTTTAGGCTGCAAGTTAAAGCTTGTTTTTATTATGGATTGATTTGATATTTTTCTTGATTAAACGACTAGTTGCTTGTAAGAAAATAGTGGAAAAACATTTTAAATCCCAGTTTTCTGAACCCAAAAAAGTATAAAAGCTGAACCTAGAGAATGTTATTGGTATTTTTGCTTAAAAAAACTACTTAAAGGTCCAATGTGTGACATTTAGGTGGATAAACTGACAGAGACTGTAGTTTCTCCTTCGCACTCAGAGGGGGAGGGTGATGCGAGGGGATTGCAATCTGCAACTACTAGATGCAACTAAATCCTACTCACTGTTCCTTTTTTAAATCAGTTGGTAATTAAAATGTATCTCCTTGAAATCAACTAATGACTTAATTGTTTCCTCTCTAATAACATGGCTGCAGGTGTCTTACTTCAATCTTTCACATATAAAACTGATGTGAGAAGACATTTTAATGTTCTCTACCTCTATTCTATGTGAACCACATGCTTTTTTAATTTATAATGCAAGGTTGTAGAATTAAATGTATGTCTAGTTCCCTTTTTATGCTACTTAAATAATAATATTAAATGTTGAGAAAGAATTAAAAAAGTCTTATATTGTCTTTTGGAGGAAGAGTCCAACTCCTTCCATTTGCTTTCTTTAGAGTAGAGAGGGCAGTTTCAAATGTTTGCTCAACTGAGAGGGTTGAGTGTGTGTGTGCATGCATATATATGTGTGTGTGTGTGTGTGTCCAGGCAGGGGGCTGCTTATGTGTGGGAGGTGGTGGGTGCTAGAAGTTGTGTCCTCTTTAAATCTCTCTGCCTCCTCTTTCTTAAGCCTTACATCACCCTGTATAGTTATGTGACGGGCGCTTTGATTCCCACTAAAAAAAACAACCTGTTATTGACGGACGTTCGTTGTATAAGTCGTCCTACTTTGCAGGTTTAAGTCAAAAGATTCAGACTGAGTTAACAACCAGAAGGGTCGTGAATGGGAGTGCTTCTTGGTGGTTTTTCATCAATGTCTCATTAATGGCTGCCAAATTCATCAAGACAACATGATTGTTAGTTAGTTCCGGTAGAAGCTTATTAGAAGTATCTATTCCTGATATAATTATACCCTCTTTATATTTGCAAGGAAATCTTCTGGTGCACATTTGGCCCCTGAGGACAGGGGTAGGAAATTAAATCTAGTGTTGCTGTGTGGGGAGTGATTAGGTGGCAGAGGGAAGACAATAGAGAGCGGACATCCTGTCACCCTTTTTTTAGCACAGGAGCCTTCCTGAGAGTTAAAAAGAAACATATATAGCTGTGCTGTTTATGAAAAATTTAAGACAAATATGTTTCCTTTCACACATAACTCACATTCTCATAGCTAAGGTGTCACATTTATGAACAATCAGGGTGGACTGTCTGAATGAGGTGATGAATAGTGTATGTTAGGGTTGGTGTATTAATGGCTCTGTAGAGTAAATGGGAGGTTGAAAATGTTGGAAAAGTTACTACTGGTCTCTTTTGTGTGACTGCTTCAGTCTGCTTAATCATTTATAATTAGCTAATCAGGTTTAAACATCAATTTGAAGTACTGTAGCACAACATCCTGCCACTATGTGCAACTGCAGATCTTAAAATACAGTGTAAAGGCGGCACTGCAACTGCGATTCAAATGTTTGACTTTTGAAACAATGGAAGGTCTTACTGTAACACTTTCAGTAGCTGCAACTGCTACTTGCATATAAAAGAAAATATGTTGTGAATTAACCTTTTTAAATATAATATAATCTAACTTCATATTTAACAGACATGGCAGTGGTATCAGATCTCTCATTTAACTCTCCTCTAGAAAGCAAATAAGCGTGTTTCCCAAAATGTCAAACATAGAGAGAGAATATTTTATACAAGACTTTATTTAAAAAGCATAGATTAAAATTGCATAATTTTGCTCAGACATCTATTTGAAATCTAATACAGAAAAAAACAACCTCATGGAAAGAGTATCCTACGATGTTAATTTAGCTTCACAGGACATCTGGTAGTTTTTTATTTTTTATTTTACTCAAACAAAAGTTTGACTAATAATGGAAAGACGTGATTGGTGCAGAGTTGCATTGCCTCTGACTCAGTGAGTTAGTTTACTTTACTGGAAAAATTCCTCTCAGTGGGAAGGCGTCAAGCTTAGTGAAACGATTTGCTCTCTTATCAGTTTGGCAGGGGTGTATGTGACTGTTTGTGTTGGTACTGTGTGAAAGTGAGGAGGATGATTGTGATAGAACATTATAATAGTGTCAGCTGGATTGAGACCATAAGAGAGATTTTGTTTCTATTTTTGCTTGTTAACACGGGAAAAACTTGACTAAAAGTATTTTATTTTTGAACAAAGTGCCCACCTTCCTAAATCACACGGTAATAAAATTGTCTTCGTGTCCCTCAGCTACATAATAAATGATTAAATGTATGTCCTGACCTTACTCTGTCTCTCTCTTTAGGGTCTCCATACTACGACAACGTCAGACCTCTCTGCTACAGCGACTCAGACGCAGTGCTCTTATGCTTTGACATCAGCCGACCAGACACAGTAGACAGTGCGCTGAAGAAGGTATTGACATCACCTCAATTGTACAGCTAGGGATGTCTCCATCCGATCCCAAAGATTGGTATCAAGGCTTTTTTTTAACTGATCGGTATCACCTATATTGAGCTTTATTGACCTGATCCTTTATTGTACATCAGTTGTCAATCAGCTCCAATGCAGACATCTTTTTCTTGATGCATTGCAGAGCTATACGGTTGTCAAGCATATACATTGGATTGATTTTAATAACTTTATTGTACTTGAAGTGTGCAATGTGCACCTATATTACAGGATATACAAGTATCGGGACTTTGTATTGACAGATACCCAATATTAACTCGGATTGGGGGTAAAAAAAACTCCCTACTTACAACTTAATTTTACTTGGTTGCAGGTCTATCCCCCTTGATCAACAATCTGCCACATATTCACTCTTTACAAATACTTACATCTGTTTCTGTTCTCCTTGCAGTGGAAAGCGGAGATCCAGGACTTCTGTCCCAGCACACGGATCTTATTAATAGGCTGCAAGACAGACCTGCGCACAGACGTATGCACGCGCATGGAGCTGTCCAATCAAAAACAAACTCCCATCTCCCATGAACAGGTTTGTTCCATGACTACTCTTTCTTCCTCTGTGTGTCAATTTAGGCTTCTGTCTCTTGTCTAGACCGGTTAGAAATCCCCCCATTTTTAATTTTTTTTAAGCTGAAGCTCATACTCAGTTTCACACGCATATATTTCCCTTTCACGTCGTAGGGTTCGTCCATGGCCAAGCAGCTCGGAGCAGAGGCTTACTTGGAGTGCTCAGCCTTCACATCAGAGAAGAGCATCCACAGTGTTTTCCGTACCGCGGCTCTAGCCTGCATGAACAAACTCCAGCCTGCCAACAAACCCAGCCCCGTCCGCCGCCTCTCCAAAAGACTCCTACACCTGCCCAGCAAGACGGAGCTCCTCTCCTCCACCTTCAGCAAGGACAAGTCCAAGAGCTGCTCCATCATGTGAATTCTGCTGAGCTCATGAAAGCAAGGACAGGCAGACCTGCAGATGGTTCAGCAGGGGGTCCAGGGTGTGCAAGGGAAAGAGAGCAATGATGTGGATTTCTGCAAAGCCTCTCTCTCCTTTGCAGCATCCTCCCCCAAAACTCCCAGTCAACCACTTCAACTGCTACACTCGCTATATTCAACTCTGACCTTTGATCATGACACCAGCACACAGTGCAGAGACGGAGTGGGGAAAAAAAAAAATTCTTGATCAATTAAATGCACCTGTACAAAGAGAGCGTAACAGGCACTTTAAGGCATAAAACCTGTTCCTCACATGAAGGTTAAAGTGAGAGATGTAGCTTAAATAAGGTCAGTGCCTCCTCTTTTCTACAGGGGAAGTGGTTGTAAACACTGCATTTGACTGCATTACACTGATGAGACCCATTTGAAATTCTGATAGCGCCCCTTTTCCCATCCATCTCTTTATTTGAATGTTTCTTTAAGGTCATGATACGGGGCTGAGTGACGAGATGAAATGTAAAATCGGACAGTGACAGGAAGTGGTACCTACAGAAATGCGGCTCTGGGAATTTAAAACAGGGATCTTTGAAGAAATTATTCCCCCCCCCCCCCCCCCC